AGTTGGTGATTCAAACCCACCAGCCACGCTGCAGGAAAAAGATGAGGCTGTCTGTTCCCATACAGATTTTAGAAACTGTATATAGGGGTTGCTATGGGTTTACTCAAAGTTAGTGGGGTTGAGCAATTGAGTCCTGGAAGGAAGAGAACCAGGGAGCATTAAAGATAGTGTCAGCATTTTTAACCTGACTGACAAGGAAAATATTTCCTTAAGCAGAAGAAGTTGTGTGTGTGCAGGGGGGAAGGGGGCAGGGAGGAAATTTCAAGGGCACAATTCAGAGCTCCATTTTTAATGTGCTGAATTTGCAGTGAAGTCTGGGTAGTGGCAGTGCTATAGTGGGCTGGTGGGTTTGAGTATTTCCATACTTTCTTTACCTTTGGGGTAGATAGTTGACATTTTTCTACTCATGTAAACCCAACCACAAGCCCCAAACCCATTGCTACTAATTCTGATTCATACCAACCCTATCAGACCAACTGACTCATAGTGACCCTATAAAACAGTGGTTCTCAACCTGTGGGTCACGACCCCTTCGGGGCTCGAACGACACTTTCACAGGGGTCGCCCTATTCATAACAGTCCAAAATTACAGTTATGAAGTAGCAACGAGAGCAATTTTATGGTTGGGGGGGGGGGAGGTCACCACAACATGAGAAACTGTATTAAAGGGTCGAGGATTAGGAAGGTTGAGAACCACTGCTATAAAACTGCCCCCACAGGATTGTTTAAGTTGTAATCTTGATTGCCACATCTTTCTCCCCAAGGAGCACTGGTGCTTTTGAACCACTGACCTTTCAGTTAGTAGCTGAGCATTTAACCACTGCATGACCATGGCACCACATCACATGTAAACACAGCTCCAAAGTCTTCCAGCCCCTCCTATTAGAAAAACTTGGGAACCACCTATCGGTGGAGAGAGCCTCTTAGAAATTTCCAAGTGGCAACTGAAATCCAAGCCAAACCCAGGGCCGTCTAGTCAACTCTGACTCGGTGTCACCCTACAGGATAGAATAGAACTGGGTTTAGCTGCTTGAACTATTGTCCTTGTGATTAGCAGCCCGACTATGTCACCAGGGCTCCTTAGACGGCAACTGAAGACAAGAATAATGCATTGTTCATTTTGACCTCTCCTGGGAGGAGGAACCCTGGTGTCGTTGGGCTGCTAACTACAAGGTCAGTAGTTTGAACCCACCAGTTCCTCCCTGGGAGAAAGATGGGCCTTTTTACTCCCGTTAAGAGTTAGTCTTGGAACCCGTGTCCTATGGAGTCACTAGGAGTTGGTGTCAACTTCGATAGCACTGAGTTTGGAAGTATTTTGGGGGGTGCGTATGTGGGAGAGCCACGGTGCCTTTCTATTTGAATTTTAAAAAGAGTCCTCCAAATGTGAGACTTTCATGCCCAAAGAACAACCACTAAGGAAACAAAAGGCAGGGAGGGTAGTCAATCCTTCGATAACTAAACAGACTGAATTGTTAGATGTTTAAATCAAAGCCAAACTTGTTGCTGTGAAGTTGATTCTAACTCATGGCGAACCCATGTGTTGTAGAGTAGAACTCTGCTGCCCAGGATTTTCGGAGCCATGTGACTCTTGAGAACTAGATTGTCAAACTTTCCTCCCAAGTCACCTCTGAGTGGGTCCAGACCACCCACCTCTCTGTTATTCATTTAGCATCTAATCATTGATGTCACCCCATTGGCTCCTGGGAGATATTTTAAAGCAAACTCATCGCTGTCAAGTTGGTTCCAACTCATGACGACCCCATGTGTTGCAGAGCACCACTGCTTCACAGGGTTTTCTTGGCTGCAGTCTTTATGGAAGCACATGGCCAGGCCTTTTTGGGTTTTTTTGGCAACACCACTGGGTGGGTTTAAACCAATAACCTTTAGGTTAGTGGTCAGATCCTTAGGTTCAGTTCAACTCAGTAGACCTTCACAGAGAACCTTCCTTGAATAGGCTGATTTTTTAAAAAAAATCATTTTACTGGGGGGCTCCTACAACTCTTATCACAATCCATACATTCTGATTCAACTTGTCCTTATAATCCCTTCAACGTATATCACTTAATCCACAATCCTCCCTGTGTTTCCCATTTCCACGCCTCCTCCTTTCTTAGTCCTCTGACCTTTGTCTGGGTAAAGCTAGATTTTGATCGTACTTAGTTACATACTTGATTATTCTACTGTGGAGACAGGTTCCGTTCCAG